CAGTGTTTGTGCTCACATAATGCAGGCTGTGTTTCACCTACAGTAGTCAACGGAGTCTATATGTGCTGCTCAGCTTGTCTCCTTTATTTAGTTCACTCACATGCAATTTAGACCCTGAATAGTATAAAGGATTATAGTCACATTAGAAGTCTTTCTAAAATAGTCTTTGGTTTTGTTTTGTACTTCGTTCTTAATGCCAGGGGCGTTGCTTGGATTGCAAAAAAAAACGGAGGCATCTTTGAGCATCCCAAGGACAGTAGTAATGCTGTGCGCACACTGCATGGCAGCAAACAGGGAGTATGATCTAACTGTTAAAATTGGGAGGGGGCCTAAGGCTTCCTTGTACTAGATAATATGCTTTAATTGCACTAAACCTCAGCACAATAAGTAACAAAAAAAAAAGCGCTGTCGAAATACTGCTATAAAATTTTGTGTTCACTTAAACAGCAAAGAGATAATACTTTGTCTGAGTCTACCTTAAAGGAGAGCTTCATTAAAATAGTCAGGGACTGCTTAGCAACCAGCAATTGTTCAGACAATGAACACTTTGGTGTGAAATATGAAATGTATAATATATTGCATATAGTGCAGGAGTCTATATAGCAGAGTGCAGGGGTCAGGTATGTGCAATGCACAGAGCGCAGGGATCAAGAGTACATACTGCAGTGCTGCACTAAGTATCGGGCTTAAGAATAAATAATGCAGAGTGCAGAGGTCTAGGGTGTAAAATGTAAGTGCAAGGGTCAGGAGAATGTAAATCACAGAGTGCTGCAGTCAGTGCCAGGTTTAGGAGTACATGAAACAAAAGAGCAGAGGTCAGGAGTAAACAATGCAAATCCTCTCCATTCCAGCAAAAATCCACCCCCCAATCCTCCATCTAGTACAAATCCTCTCCCCCCCCAGCACAAGTCCCCCTTCCCTCAAACGCTCTCAGAAGAAACTTCTTCCCAATCCCCCTTCCCAGCACAAATAACCCCCCAAATTCCCCCTCCCAGCACATATAATATCTCCCAACATGAATCCCCCCATCCCCCTTCTAGTGTGAATCCTCCTCCCCCCCCCCCAAATCCCCCCTCCCAGCCCAAATTCTCTTCCCTTTTAGAACAAACTCCCCCTACACCCAATCCTCTTTTCCTTCCAGCACAAATCTCTGTGACCACCCCTAAACCCACCTTCTCACACCAAGCTATCCTCCCAGCACAGATCCTTCCACCATATCCCCCCTCCCAGCACTTCATCCCAAATTGTCTTCCCCTTCTAGCACAAATGACCTCTATAAATCCCACCTTCTAGCACAAATTTCCCCAATGCTTCCTCCAACCACAAGATTTTTCCCCCTTCAAGCACAAATCTTCCCCCAAAACCGCCCCACCCCCCCCCCCACTTTACAACACAAATCCCCCTCCCTCACAGCACAAATTATCCCCCACCCCCACATCGCTCCTCCCAGCTTAAATCCTTCTGCACAAAAGTTTGTTTCCTGCACCGCCACAGCATTGTGTCCCCTCAGTGCAATTTTTAGAACTCAGATACTGCACTGGTCACTCCAGGGGGACATTCCTCTTCCCCATCTCCTCCTCATGTGCATAATACACGTCAGAGCTGAGGTGGAGCCTAGGGAAAGTTTTCCTCGACTCTGACGTGCATTATTGTGACAGGCAACCAGCATCTCTCCTTGCCAACTGCCACAAAAACAAAGGGGACGATCTTGGCTCAGTCAACCCAGGGTACCCCTCAAGAGATGCGGGGAAGGTGCCCGCTGCTAGCGTTCCCCTGCTAGGAACATTAGTGGAGCCAAGTGCCGGAAATTTTTCCAGGTGATAACAATGTGTCTTCTACACAATGCTTATGATACGAAATACTGTATATTGCTAACACCTTATTCTTAGTAAGGTTTTGTGCTATTCAGTTAAGCACCTCATAACATAAAAGTAGTCAATTACTTGTAACACCCACCTTGTGTATTAATAATCCCTGGTTGGAAAGAACATTTCTTGCATTAAAGCGGAACCACACTGGGTCTGAGCACCACAAACCAAAAACGCTATTTAATTCTTTTTTAATGATCAAAGCAAACTCCCTCATCCATCAATGTTTCCATACTTTAGTTTGCTAAAAAATCACTTTGAAAAACACCTTCTACCATTTATGGCCCTGGCCATCTTGAGTGAAGGTGGATGATTCATGTAACATTTACTTCCAGAAATTCATCTGCCCTTAGCTCAGAAATGCAAGAAGAAGGGTGTGCTTAGCTGAGAAAACCCCTCCTCCCCTCCTGAAGACTCCTGGGATGTATGACATCATTTGCCTAGGCCTAGAAACTAGGAAGTAACTAAAAATTGTCCAAAAAAGTTTAAAACAAAATGAAATACTTTCCTAACTATTTACTAATGCTAGCAGCAAAAGGATTTAAAACAATCAATATCAACTACTACTAATGTTGACAGCCAGATAATATTGTAGCCATTGCACAAATAACTCGTTCCATAGGTTTTACTATGGTACCAGTCCTTTTTTGTGTTACACCTTGAGTTGAGTTCCCAGATAACAAAGGAAGCTGAGCTGGTCTTCCTGGTTGACATGTCCTTTGACAAATTATGTTTTTTACTGTGAATCCAATAAATCACTAGGAGTTTGGAAATCAGATAGACTCTAGCTTGTGGTATGAAACTGAAATTGGCGGGGCGCTTACTCTACTGAAGTAATTCAATTAATAAATTATGTGAAAAACTAAATTACTATGTGTAGAGGTATAATTCCTTCAATCAGTATACCATACTGACACAGAATAAAATTGTAAATACTCTCCACACATAAAAAACCTACATAAAGTGCAACAAAAGGCCACACATAAAAGTATTTGCATAAAGTACAGCAAATATCCAAGTTCCAAAAAAGTGCTGAATAAAGTGACTGGTGTGCAAACTGTGACCCCCTATGCAACATAAGTGGGTTTCTCTTTAAAGACAGTTACTATCTCTTCCATTACTTCTGGTGTCTCTGTTGTATGAAAAGTCTTCCCGCAATTCTTCTCCAGTATTTGTGCATGTAAGGGGAGAAAAGAAACAGGAGGCAGCTTCCAATATATTATAATACTGTGTTATTTAGACAATAAAAACATTTTAAAATGCACTTACTCAATCACGATGCTTGCAATGTTTACAAGCCATATCACAGGGGAGCAACTGAACTTTGCTATAACATTCATCTCTAGCTATGTTAAATTAACTGGGGCAGCACAGTGGCTTAATGGTTAGCACTTCCATCGGGTAGTACTGTTTCGAATCCCAACCATGGCACCACCTGCCTGGAGTTTGCATGTCTCTCCCTGTGCTTATGTGGGTTTCCTCCGGGGTACTCCGGTTTCCTTCCACATACCAAAGACATGCTGGTAGCTTAATTGGCTCCTGTCTAAATTTGCTCTAGTATGTGTATGTATGAATGTGAGTTAGGGACCTTAGATTGTACGCCCCTTGAGGGTTAGTGACTCATGTAAATGTATGTATGTAAAGCGCTGCATAAATTGATGGCACTATATAAGTACCTGCAATAATAATAACTCTATATATACCCAGGTATGTATGCATAAGCCCTTTCCTTATAATACCTGCTAGTACATTGGATATATGTACTATTCCTAATCTTTTGGTATATAAAGTTTATATTATTTCCATACTGATGTACACCTATATACTTATGGTTATTGTTATATGCTGGTTGCAGTAGTTCTTCTGCTCCCAATTACCTTGATTACATTACTGGGTAACTTCCCAGGAATGGAATGTTCTTTGTTCACAGATGCCCTGTAGAGGGGGAAGAGGCACTGTCAAGTTAATGACCAAGAAACACTCTTCCTCTTAACAAAGGTTCTGGTTCTCTTATTTATCTACAGATTTATTGCAATATCCTTTTTTTTGGGAAGGGCCATTTCTTATAACCCCTCTTTCTCCAAACAAGAGCTACATACTCAAAGCAAGAGGCTTGGTGGCCATTTTGTTGTAGCCCAGAGTATCGGATGAAATTAGCTGAGCTACAGCAGTGTGAGACTCTTGCTGAGGATATGAGTCTTTGCTGTGATGGGAGATTGTGCACAGTGCATGCAGAGCTTTTAAATCAGGAAGCTCGCATACTCCACCAATGCTGGGGGGCAAGTGCCCAAAGACTGCCTTGTCCAAGAAATGCCAGGACGTAGGAATGTGAACATCAGAAATATTTCAGCCAGGCTTCTTGGGTGACAGAAAAGACCTACAGGTATGGCATTTGCATTAATCAATATTTTTGCAAATATAAAAGTGGATTTAGCCTGTAAGGATTCTTCCTGCTTTTCCAGTTTCAGCATTGGTGGAGTATACGAGCTTCCTGATTTAAAAGCTCTGCATGTACTGTGCACAATCTTCCATCACTGAAAGATTTAGCATATATTCCATCAGCCTGTTAAGTTGCAGAATCAGACGAGGTAGAAACATTACCCTGTTGAGTCTTCTTCAGAGACTTAAATGGGTAAAAAATGTAAAGCTATAATCAAGTTACCATGAACTATATGAATCTTTCCAGTCTTTGGATCATGTATAAGGAAAACATGTATTTTATGGTCATCATTGACAACTTCTTGAATATTGCATATTTTTCTCTAAAAGATCAACAAATATGTCATAGTCCATCATGGTTTCATCTTTCAAAACATTTGTGAATGTGATGTCAATAGGTAACCTTGGTGTGCATCCAAACAATAAAAAAAGTTGAATATCCTGTAGTTTTTAAGTATAGTATAGTTGTTTGCAACTGTAAGGTGTTGATTTACTAAAACTGGAGAGTGCAAAAATCTGGTGCAACTGTGCATGGTAACCAGTAAGCTTCTAATTTCAACTTGTTTAACCACCTCCCGCCCACCATATAGTAATATGACAGATGCAAGGTGGTTCTCTTGTTCTGGGAGGACGTCATATGACGTCCTCCCATTCTAACCGCGCATGCGCTGCTCCTGGAGCGCACAGCGCGGCGATCTGCGGATCACCGATCTACAGAAAGAGACGAAGATGTCGGCTCGGTCATGTGATCAGCTGTGTCCAATCACAGCTGATCACATGTAAACAGGGAAATGCCAGTTATCGGCATTTCTCTCCTCTTGAGCTGTCACGCTGACAGCTTGAGAGGAGAGGAGAGCCCGTAATCGGCATTCCTTGGAGTGGGACATGTACACTGATCATCAGAGCACTGATGATCAGTGTGCCCTGATGATCAATGTAGCCCCAGCAGTGCCATCTGTCAGTGTCCATCAGTGCCAGCTGTAAGTGCTCATCAGTGCCATGTGCCAGTGCCCATCATCAATGCCACATATCAGTGCCCTACCAGTGCACATCAATGCCACATATCAGTGCCCATCTGAGCTGCCTTTCAGTGTCACCCATCAGTACCAGTCAGTGCTGCCTATCAGTGCAGTCAGTGCCACACCTAATAGTGCCAGTCAGTGCTGCCTATCAGTGCCACCTTTCGTTGCCCATCAGTGATGCCTGTCAATGCCCATCAGTGCCACCTACTAGTGCCTCCTCATCAGTGCCCATCAGTGCCACCTATCAGTGTCCATCAGTGCAGCCTATCAGTGCCCATCAGTGCAGCCTCATTAGCGCACATCAGTGAAGGAGAAAAATCACTTATTTACAAAAATTTTATAACAAAAACTAAGAAAAAAACTTTTTTTTCAAAATTTCCAGTGGTTTTTGGTTTTGTTTAAGAAAAAATGTAAAACCCAGAGGTGAATAAATACCACCAAATAAAGCTCTATATCTGTCACAAAAAAAATGATAAAAATGTCATATGGGTACAGTGTTGCATGACCGCACAATTGTCATTCGAAGTGCAACAGCGCTGAAAGCTGGAAATTGGCCTGGGCAGGAAGGGGGTATAAGTGCCCCGTAGGCTTGTGATTAATTAAACTGTTAAAAAAAACTGGAAGCTGGTTTCTATGCAGAGCTGCACCAGATTTTGCACACTCCAGTTTTAGTAAATCAGTAAGTGTTTAGATCATCTGTGACCATTTGTTCTTTGCTCTCGGTGGTAAATATTGCAACATATTTCTAACTGTTCGATTAAAGGGTTTTGCATGTCCATTTCCCATAGGATGATACGGGAGTTGTGAGTGATTTTCTTACTCCCACTACTTATAACATTTCTCTGATCAGTAAACTAAATTAGCTTTTAGGTTTGAATGTAACCTCCCAGGAAATCTGTAAATAAATAAGAAATTATTCTAAAATCTGTGAGCTACTTGTTTTAAAGTTTGGTTCTGACATGGGAATGCATGAGTTAGTTATGTAAATTGGTGTGTAACTATTAACACATTAACACTTTCATTTTTTAAATAGGTGTTTATTTAGGTATCATGCAATTAAATTAAACAGAATAACAGATGTACAGACATCTACACCATACTGTTTTTGACGTAAGTAGGCTGCACAGAGTATTATGAGAGTAATACAGGACACAAAAATTGCCACTCAAATATCAAATATACAAAAGAGAATATTACATACACACATTTACATCATGCACACAAGCAGATCCACATACATATAGCTTTCCCCCATAGTGTTACCCACCATGAGAAGATGTAGTGACATTAGTCCATTGGGATTCAGAGCTGTGCCTGCGTGGGTTTCCTCTGGGTACTCCGGTTTCCTCCCACACTCCAAAGACATGCTGGTAGGTGAATTGGATCCTGTCAAAATTGGCCCTAGTATGTGTATGTATGAATGTGAGTTAGGGACCTTAGATTGTACACCCCTTGAGGGTTAGGGACTGATGTGAATGTACAATATATATGTAAAGCACTGCGTAAAATTGACGGCACTATATAAGTACCTATAATAAATAAAATAAAATAAATGTCAGGCAAGAGCTGCCATATTTTAGAACATTTTTGCAGGCAAGGCCTACCCATGTAGATTATCTTGTGTTTAGACAGATCAGAGTTCACTAGATGGCAGACCAGCTGTATCGTAGGAGAGGCAGCACTTTTCCAATTCAGCAGAATAGCTTTTTCTGGTGTAGAAGAAAAAACAAACAAAACATATGAGCTATGAGTTAGTGGAACAAAATTGTTAAGGACAAAAGACACACAGGGGTTTAATTAGCTAGGAAGTCCTGATTGGTGTCAAGTAACGTAAAGAAGTCACTCCAGAAGGTAGAAAGACAGGCACAAGTCCAGATAATATGCAGCAGATTATCAGAAATTTCTCTGCATCTAGAACAGGGGTGGGCAAACTTTTTGACTTGAGGGCCACAATGGGTTCATATATTGGACCCGGGGCCGGACCAAGAGTAAATGAATGATGTGTATGTGTCATCCATAGTAAGTATAGTAATATTCCCCCATAGTAAACATAGTAATTCATCCCCCATATAGTAATTCATCCCCCATATAGTAATTCATCCCCCATAGTAATTAATCCCCCATAGTAATTCATCCCCCATATAGTAATTCATCCCCCATAGTAATTCATCCCCCATAGTAATTCATCCCCCATATAGTAATTCATCCCCCATAGTAATTCATCCCCCATATAGTAATTCATCCCCCATAGTAATTCATCTCCCATAGTAATTCATCCCCCATAGTAATTCATCCCCCATATAGTAATTCATCCCCCATAGTAATTCATCCCCCATAGTAATTCATCCCCCATATAGTAATTCATCCCCCATAGTAATTCATCCCCCCATATAGTAATTCATCCCCCATAGTAATTCATCCCCCATAGTAATTCATCCCCCATATAGTAATTCATCCCCCCCTATAGTAATTCATTCCCCCCATATAGTAATTCATCCCCCATATAGTAATTCATCCCCCCCATAGTAATTCATTCCCCCATATAGTAATTCATCCCCCATATAGTAATTCATCCCCCATAGTAATTCATCCCCCATTATGGTAATTCATCCCCCATAGTAATTCATCCCCCACAGTAATTCATCCCCCATATAGTAATTCATCCCCCATATAGTAATTCATCCCCCATAGTAATTCATCCCCCATATAGTAATTCATCCCCCATATAGTAATTCATTCCCCATATAGTAATTCATCCCCCCTATAGTAATTCATCGCCCATATTAAGTCCCCAAGTCCCCCCCCTGTGTCAATTCGCTTACCTTTGCTCCGCGCGTTCCTCTCGCCGTGTTCCCGCACCGTTCCGGTGTAGCATGAAAATCTGTCTCCTATGAGGATCTGTCCCCCTCGACGTATCTGCGCATGTGCCAGTTTTTAGGCATTAGCAGCCGATCGGCGATCTCCGGCACATGCGCAGATACGTCGAGGGGGACAGATCCTCATAGGAGACAGATTTTCATGCTACACCGGTCTTCAGGGCGGACTGTGAGAGGAGCCTAGCGGGAGCCTAGCTCCGCGGGCCGGATTAAAAGGTCCGCCGGGCCGTATAAGGCCCGCGGGCCGTAGTTTGCCCATTGCTGATCTAGAACAACTGACCTATGCTCCAAAGCCTATATGAGATAGTTTGACAGGAGTATTGTGGATAATATAAATATACCTAAATTGAGGGAGTCTTCCCATCCTTCCTCCATAAGTTTGGGCAGGAGGAGCCATTTCTGATAGGAAGAGTCAAATAGATTAGAGCCCTTGGCTTGTAAACGACCGTAGAAGGTGGTGACCAGTTTTGTGTGGTCAGAGTTGTAAATCGCACATTCTAATGGGGATACTGATAGGTCTCGATTTAGAGCACCTTACTTGCATGGAGAAGCAACAAATATTTTAAAAAGAATTTGTTATCAGTATGAAATCTCTCTTTAAGTGCCTCAAAAGAAATTAGGTTGCCATTATCAAAAAGTATTGAGATACATAGATGATGCCTTTATTGAGCCACCAAAGCTTATCAGGGTATCCCAGCAATTTCTAATTATGAAAAATGGGAGTCTTAGGCGAGAGTCTTTGCACCAGTAAGCAAGGTAAAAAAAAATCTTCTAGAGAACAGTGTTTGCAGTGCGACACATTCAATCTATGTATATCATCTTTGAGATTCAAAAAGGCACCCTGAAGGGCAGATATAAGAGTGGTATTAGGATTGGGAAAAGTCGAGTGCAACCAATCGTAAACATATGTAAGTTGGGAGGCAATAAAGTACATGTAAAGAGTTAGGACAGGCTAAGCCACTGTCTGCAAGAGTTGATTACAGGGAGAATCCGGCAAATCAGGGATAAGTATAGAATCTATATGATGAAAACGTTTTTAGAAAGGAAGACTGAGGAAGCCCTAGGGATGTATAGAAATTTTGGCAGGTAAATCATTTTAAATAGGTTTATTTGGCCAATAAGATTAAGTAGTAAGAAGGACCATATATGTAGTCTAGATTCCATCTGTCTGTGTCACAATAGGGGTAATATTGAGGCACTGAGATGCAGTGCATGTAGGAACCAATACCAGAACAGACTTTAATCACTAATCTATAAATACCCACAAAAACAAATAAAATTAATAAAATAAATAAAAAAAATAAAATTCACGGTTGTCAGGATATTACTTCCACCCCTAAGAAGCTATAACATAAACAAGAACCCAGTGTCCAAATTAGTATAGAATCAAAAAGTCCTTAATCACAATACATAGAAATTCATAATATAAGTCTTTCCATTCTTCCAAGGTTATCACCGTAAATATTTTAAATGTCCTATTCATGTGTGACAAAACAGTGTGCTCCTCTTCCTCCTTTCATAGAGTATTAGCTCTTCATGCAAAAAAAATATAAACCGCATAAAGTGCATTATCTTTTAAATGCAGCAAATCAAATATACATTACACTCACATAATAGTGCTATAATAGTGCCAAATCTCCACCATGTGCCATCACTCTAAATTCGTAATTCCTACTCTTATCCTTCAATCAAAAATCCTCGCTTTGTTACAGGGGGGATGGATCTTGTAAATTACTCCTTTTTCATTCTTCTTTCATGATAAATTACTCTCCAAAAAAATTCAATATCATATAGTGTAGTAGTTCCAATACAGTGAACAACAATAGTGCCAATGTGCTCACACTTTATCAAACATTGTGACCACCAATCAGTGCACAATTCTCCTTAGGAGACCCACCGCCTCACAGTTCATACACCTTACCAGATTTTCCTAAGTATGAAGCCTGGAATCTCATAGTTAACTGCTACGCTTCAAAAGATCTCCTCCTCATACCAAATATTCCACTCCCCTGTTGTCACATGCAATCAAGCCAAATAGGCAGACCATAGTGCAGCAGATAAGATAAAACCGATTTATGCAATTAGGAAAGCGCTTACAGTGTAGTAGTGTGCATAAAATGCCAGCATACACCTTTCTCGGACCTTAACCAACATGGCCACCACTGGACTGCCGGTTAGTGTCTGATGTCACTTTCCGACGAGTTTCGTCATTACGACTTTGTCAAAGGATGACATCCTTTGACAAAGTCGTAATGATGAAACGCATCCAAAGAAGCCA